CCTTATGTTGTTCCGCACAGATTTGGCATACACGCAATTATTTTTTACAATCTTTCGCCATATGGCCATATTTCCAACAGTTGTAGCATTGTCTGAAAATGATCGAAACATTAGCCACTAGAAAATGAAAATATAGGCCAAAAGGAAAGTTTTGTCCACTCCCACGGTTATCAGCACAGGCAATATTTTTAATTGCTTAAAGCGATTAAAAATAGAAGTGGATATATTACAATAGTAAAAGGTGCGTATGTTTAGCTTGATTTGACACGAAATTTGAGAGAAGACGGAAAAAGTCCGTTGTAAAACGACCCACCATCAGTTTTTCCATTTTCAGTTTCAAAAAAGTTATAAATTGGAAATTTCTATGTATAAGAAATTAAAAAAAAATTACTTATTTATTATTTCTCCAGGACGACCAAAATTGATAGCTGGAATTGATAAGAGTAAGTTACATTGCTAGCAGTGGTTATATTAATCTATCATACTTTTCGACATAAATAATGCACAAGTACGACATACTAATTTGTTAAGAGGACAATTTGAAATAATTTAAAACTTTTTTTTTGGCAAAGCTTGACTAGTACCATGGAATTTCATTCATAAACATACAGGGTGATTCAAAGTTGGCGTCATTCCTCTGGAGGTGTTGTCTGGGGGTGTTTTGGGAGTTCAGGAAAAAGAGTAAAAAAATTAATTGTTATTAAAAACTGAGAAATTTGCAAAAAACTATATTAGAAAAACGGCATCAATGTTTTTCAAGGTAATCCGCCTAATTAACAGGATGCAAATACCTGTTCCTTCGTAACTGTTAAAAATGTGGGTTAGCATGGAGAAACAAAAAGCAAAGGAAATGAAAGAGACAATAACATACGTTGAGGTTAGGATAACGATGTCACCTTGCGGTCAGCAGATATTTTATGCTTATCCGTCCACAACAGTCCTGGCTGACTGCGCTTGCGCGTCTCAATGTCGCGTTGCCGGTTTGATACTTCCATTGCGAACGAAATTATAACCTCAGAAAAACACGGTTTCTTGTGGATTCTAGCACATTTTTAGTTTAGTGGCTGTTGGTAAAATTCATGCTAATTTCATTGTTAGTGATTTATAGATACAATTAGTTCCCGCAGAAAAGATTTGGATTCTTGGAGTTTTCATAGTCATGGATCTTGCTTGTTTTTGATTAGTTTCTGCTTTCTAACAGAACGAACAGATATATTTAAATGTTGTCTATGATCATCACTTTAATTATATACATGCCTGTGAAAAATCAGAAAAATATGCAGCATAACATTTTTTTTCCTATAAGATTGCATCTTAAACACAAACAAACATTAACTAGAAACAATTGACTTAGAAAAGTAGACTTTTTCTGGATGTTAGGCGTCACTATTCAAGCAAGGCCAGGCGGTTAAAAACCAAGTATGTGCATGCCGCAACATGGCAGTGAGACGCGCAAACGGTCGGTGCTGCCACAGAAGAGCTCCCCGTGTACTGCCATCTTTTTGGGGTAAATGAGTGATATACTTAAATCCCGCAATCCGTCCAAGCTGTCCAAAACCACCTGTTAAAGGCTATGTAACATTGATCAAATAAAATACAATTAAGTTGATAATCACAAGTTTCCAAGTGTTCCCAAGAGAAAGACGTCCGCCAGTTTAACTCCAAACATGCTTGTGTCTGAATCACTTCGTGTATTTTTGCCAGCAGTCTGGGCTCATATTTTGAGCAGCTTCTCGTATTCGGTTAATTAACTGCTGCTCAATTTGTACCGGTGTTTGGAAGATAAGAGATTTAATGTGTTCTAGTGTCCTGTGCATATTACATACATTGTAGGAATGTAGGCCCTTTCTTGGTGGAGTTATCGGCACAATTCAATATCCAGTGTTTGAGGAAGTGCAGTTGTTATGCAATGCTTCAAGTACTCCTGGAAGGCTCAGCGGCAATTATCTCCAATACCTATTCGTCTAGGTCTGGAACCCGAGCACCTTTAGATTGTCCACTATCTGCGTCAATTTTTGACCACTCATCTAGTGCCTAGCCCATTGCTGGTGTACGTTCTCACAGCTTCTGCTATGTTGCTGTGGCATTTCCTCATAACTAATCGCATGTTCGCAAATTCGCTGTTGGTGTACCATTTGTGAAAGGAGCTTCTGCAGGAGCAAATGCTTGTTATTATTGACAAAGGCTATCTACCTGTAACTATCTGTTAATGACAAAAATTGTAGAAGAGTACTTTTTTAATATAAAAAAGGTTTGTTATTTGATAAAAAGATCGTCATTTTTTCTTTTCGAATCCTTAAGTATTCCAATATGCTACCAATTAAACATGGAACCATTTCAAAATAATGCTTAATAACAAAGTTGAAATTCGATCTTCAACTGTTAATATGTTCTTGAAATTTTCGAAAAAATGTTCTCAATATTTTTCTCATACTCTCTAAGTGAGTCCCTATATACCCTTTAAACGAATGACGCTAATTTTGAACCACCCTGTATATTAGCCTACATTGGTCTTCTTGCAATAGACATATACGTTTCTTGGTGGTTTATTGCATCCAGGTCTACTTAAAACACAATTAACGATTTCAGTAGCAATTACGCTCCTCGAATCCTCGAAAGCAGAATAGAGGATCAATGCATTCCAAACTAATACTGTCTAATTGACAGGTTGTGTTCAACCGCCCTGGAACAAGGATATAGGTAATTAATGTCAGGACCCGTGTTCCGCAGTAGCGTCGCTGGTTGGCATTAGAGTTGAATACACTTAACATTACATGTGTAAGTACAACGCCCGGCTAGAACATTTACTATCTGATTTACTTTGAATACTGACAAATTAGCGTTGGACGATAGACGCATTCGATTTCAGTTAGTAGCTTGTTATGTTTAGATCGCTCTGATAAGCCGGATCGTTTCTCGTCCAGCAATAGATCACCTATCAGGTACATATTTAGTATTTATTCTTTTTGCAAACATTTTCGCGATAGCTTCAATCTGCAATATTATTTGGGACGGGAGCGATGTTCGCATTTTTTTAGTGCTAGCTTTACTTTGGGAAATAAAATTATTAACACTAACTGCATCTACTTTTAAGACTAGAGTCTTGATGCGATTAGCATGTAATGGAAAGAACAGATATGTTTTTATAATATATATAGCATATATATTATATATAGCATGTAATGGAAAGAACAGAAATATGAATTGCAAGACATTCAACAACGCCAACCAATGAACGTTGAGTTCGAATATTTCCTTTGAATGAAAAGAACGAATCTGATTTGTTCACCGCGGTTTATAAAAATTTGGTAATGTTATAGTTTCCTACCGCTCCTACGAAACAAAAATGCACTATATTTACATAAAATATATGATACATAATAAATGCATAATTGCGAGGAACTATTGACAATCAGCCCTGTGCTGTATCACTCACGTTAACTTTAACGTGCATGTTATCCGTCAAACACGTTATGTGGCTCCAACTGGTGTGTTGTATCAGTAAAACCTTTACATTATAACAGGCGCACGCTATCGACGAACGTTATATTAAGAAATAGCGCTTCAGAATAACAGCATCAAATCACATGCCGCTATCGAAGTTAAGCTCGGAGGACTAAATAAAACAATAAGTTTAGCTCTAATTTGTCTTTAATTTAAAACAAAAATATGTCTTCTGGTTGTCTTATAAGGTTAGCTTTATTAGAACAATTAGTAAATGGCTTTGAAAATAAACTTTATTTTCCTCCACAAACTTTACTATTTTTTCAAATTGTTTGCGAGTTGTTTTTTTCCTCTTTTGTGCATGCTCCATTGAAAGTGTTGCATGCTCCATTGAAAGATCGAAAGTGTCAAGAACAATAACGAACGAAATTGAAAGTTAGTGCAAATCATAAACAAAGACAAGTATGGTAGTAGGTGGCCCAAATGGTCAAAACGTACACATGTGATGGTGGTGCATGTGTTTTAGAACCTTCGATGGTTTGATGTTAACTCTCTCTCTCTAATAGACTATTCGTATAAGGGTATCTCACTTTACGCATCGAATATTTTTTTCCTTTTTAACGTTTGATGGATAACTGGGTTGGAAACGCATACGTTAACTCGGAGATATAGCACACCCCTCATGTGTTGCTGCGTTATCGAAAATGTTATCCTGAACTGTTAAGTCGCCATAACGTGTGGCCGTTAAAAATAGCATTTATGATGCTGCACAAGGCTGAATGACCGATCTCAAAGATTTCAATTCTTGAAAAGTTCTAACGCGCATGTATTACTCTGCCACCCATCAAGTAACTTATCGACCTTGATAAACTAGAAGACGGAATGCTGATGAATGCGAGTAGAGCAGAGTATTAACTTATCTTCCCTTTCCAACTAACGATTTGACACAACCACGTGAAGCATGAGAACCAACTAGAGGATCTGACTAAAATATCGAATTTGATTCGATGTCGATTCGATTTGTCGACAATTGAAAATTGTGACTATCTCTACCAGGGCGGGGTAGGGTAACACTGTGTTGAGTTGCCCTTTTGAGTTGTTGCTTCCTTCGGAGTTAATGAAACTCATCGGCTAATAAGTTATAACTCATTTATTAAAGCGGATTAAAGCTTTATGAGACTCGGTACTAAAATTTTTACGTCTAACAGAAAAATTATCAAGAATTTTATGAGTAATGTTTTACCACTTGGTCCAAACAACTAACAAAAAGTCACCTCATTTTTGTAACGTTTTTCCAGCAAGCAGTGCGTTGGGTTGGCACACCAAGCCATTTAGTTAATAGTTTAGCCACCAAGTTAATCGACTTACACAACAAAAGTGAAACGATTTGCTAACTGGACATTGTGTAACTCGCATTACATCAAATGTAAGCAATTTTTCTTAGACACGAATCTTGGAAAATAAATGAAACTTTAGAATTTGATGTAGTTTTATATAAAAATCATGTGGAAGATTGAAGGATTCTTTAGATTTATTTGTTTTTTGAGCTCCACCCCAATACAATTTTTATGTATGTTTTCATTTTTTTGTCGGCAAGTCGCTGTTTGCATGCGGTAAAACGCTTCGATCGTCTTGGGTTGGGTCCAGTCACTAAATGTTGGCAATTTTACTAGGATGTTCTTGTAGCCGTACGCTGTAGCTAACGCTGCACTTTGGATTTTGTTTGCTCGCAAGTGCTATATGCATGTCCTGAATTCGGCGGGCATTCCATTCCACGGGCGGCCAGTAGATATTATAATTACTTTTTTACTCGAATGAATCTAAAAGTGCCATTTTTCGATCGGACGCGATGATCATAAAGAAGAAGTTTTCTTTACTGTTCATTTGTTGTACTTTTACCTCGACTTCGTCTCGGGTGTCAAACGCCGTCTTCGTTCGAAAAACGACGACTTTTCGCCCTTGCATTGAAAACTACTATTTTGGTTCTTTACATGAATTACATTCTTTGTCTGATGTTGTATCTGCGGTGTACGTTATGATTGGCCTTACACCTGTCTTATTTGCGATTTGTAACTTTCCTAGCAAGGTAGTTATGCTTCTCCACAACTGTATCCTGTATATCCAAAAAGGTTTTTGTATTCTTATTTTGTGCAACAATATTGAGTTCTCCAAGAAAAGTTAAAATTTCTTCCAACGAATCATTATTCCTTCGGTTTAGTACCAAGTAGCTTTCTGCTGTAAAATATATACTTTTATCAGTTCAATATTGAGTTTAGTTATATGCCAAGGTATTTCCTATTATCCCAGCATTGCAAGGACTTGGGAAGGAAAATGACTGCCGATAAGTTAATCGGCCTTTAAGATCTATTTTTTTAGGGGGGTTTCGGGGTTTGGAATAATTCATACTTTTGTAACCTTCTGAACTAACTGTTTAACTGTAAGAGGGATAATAAATAATAAATTCCATTACCTAAAATGTGATAATAATTTTAACCAAATGTAAACGTGACATACAAAATGAGTTGAAGCAATTTTTTTGCAATTAAATTTTGCATACAAAGAGTGTCTAATACTTGTAATCCATAAATTAGTAAATAAAAAATTAAATAAAGTAATACATTAAATTGTAAATAAATAATTAAAACTTGAAATCATTTTTAGTGTGAAAACATTCAATAAGATGGACAATAATATACCAGAAAATGAGACAGTCTCTCCTTAGAGGCACCCTCTCTAACTCTCTATACCCAACAGTCTAGTTTTGCAAGATCGAAAGCAGGATTGTCATAGTCTCATAGTCACTAGCTTTCGTGTAGGAGCTTCTGTTGTACCAGTGTAAATATGCTTTTATCAGTCCCAATTAGTCAAGAAGATAATATTAAACTAAATAAGTAAATTTGGAAAATTACGGAACCAATTATACAGGGTGAGTCAGCGAAGCGACTGAAAAAAAACTAGCGACTGAAAAAAAAATAGCGACTGAAAAAAAACGTTCATATAAAAGTGTTGTGGTTGTCGCCAAAGTATTTGTTGTAAACTAAGTATTTGTTGTAAACAACCATAACACTTTTATATAAACGTTTTTTTTTTCAGTCGCTATTTCTGTACGATCGACGAAGGGGCTCGCTTCGCTGACTCACCTTGTATATTATAACCGACGTAACCGATCATATAATGTTTGTAATGAGTTTGGAGACAATTACTTGACACCATATTTCCATCATCCAGGTATGATTTATAAGTATCATCCATCACGTTTTGACATTTCTTCTAGCACTAAATAGTTTCCGTTAGATTGCTGCTTAAAACAGGCAAGCAGATATATTAAAATTAATACAATCAAATATTATTAAAGCAATTAATTTTCACACGCACCTTGTAACTTGTATTTAATTTCCTGTATTTCATAACATTCATAACGTGTGCTTTAAATTATAAAAAAAATATTAAAATAAATCTAAGTTTTGTAAAGATTTATAGTTAAACCACGTCTTTCTTGCGTGAACCCTCTGTATGTTAGAGTAAGAAATTTTCTTTTCGTCCTGAGTTGAATGGTGTCATCAAAACCGTTTAGAGGCAAGTTAAATTATGTTAAGTAACTTCTTAAAACCGCAGTCAAATGCAACAATTCGTAACGCATCTCATCTTTCAAAGCTCCAATGGTTTTAAAATTGAATTGAGGTAACACGATTTAATAAATCGAAGATAATGTATGTAAAAAATTATCAACTATGTAATTATCCATCGAAGTGGTGAAGTTGTTTGAGAAAGTTTAATTTGGACGTATTCTTATTCCCAGGCCATATCAATCAAGAATCGTGGACCCGGAACTTTTTCCTGATTAGTATTCCGACTCTAACGACGGCAGTGCTTGGCTTTGACATAACCAGTTAGTTCGTATTAATAACTTTAGTCGAGTTTATATAAGAAAAAGAACGCTTAGAAAAATGACATGTTTTTACCCGGGCTGTCCTTAGATATCCAGTGGTTCAAATTGCCAAACTCAAGTTTTAAAAATCAAACGTTTTTTCATGAATTTTCTTGCATAAAGTATACGCCACTTTGCATTGTTTTTATAAGGGTTCCAAATCAAATCTTAAGTTACCAATACGATATATCATCGCTTTACTTTAGTAGTAGTTTTCGGTCAGTTGGTAGTTTGGTTCAGTTGCACTAACTAATCAGGTGCGTTATTTTAATAAATTTTTTGCATACAATTGAGCTGAGGAAATATTTGGAAAGCGTTCAAAACAAAAGAGATCAGTACCTGTACAAATCCGTTAATTGATCGCATTGAAACTTTATTAGTTACTTTCAATTTCATTTAGCCAGTTAATATTGAATAGGTTTAAAAAATATTGAGTTATTTTCGAATTGATGGATCAGGTACCTACGTTCATATTTTTCTATGAGTAGTTATCGTTATGCTTTTTGTATGTGCAAAAAATGCCCCATGCTCAAATATGGCACTAAATTCATTGAATTATATTTAATGTTGCCTACCTGCGTGCAATAACGCAAAACATCAAAGCGATTTTCGTGTATTCCGCTTCAAACAGATATTCATTATTATGCTCTTATTCACATGGCATGAAAAGGCCCTTTCATGGTGTAAAGACCTCATGTGTCTTCCCAATGCGGTGCACGATTTCCTCATTGGCCACACATCCAAGATACTCTCAGCATCCTTCAACGCATTTCGAAGGCTTCCATCCTCTCCTCAGTAACGGCAGTCAGTGTCCAAGTCTGTACTCCGTGGTGCAAGACACAAATTACAAAGCATTTTAACAACCTGATCTTTGAATCTAAGCTTCTCCATCCTGCTCCTGACTTCGGTCCCACTCTTCATTAACACAGGCACATAGGCAGATATTGTTGACGGTTTAACAATTACCAAAGTTTGTACATCATCATTGTGTTTGGATCTGGATATTCTCATAAATTATAATAACACTTAAATTAAGCATTGGTTTTTATTTCAAAATTTTAATTGTCATAATTTCATGTATATTGGATTTTATACGTAAGGGGTAATATTTTTAATGGGGGAAATTTGCCTTAAAGAGTGTCCAATCCATACCCAAAAAGTCCATATCGCAGCGAGTGGTAGGGATAATGTGCATAGTTGAACCCGTTATCAACCTCTGCGAGGTGTTCCATTTTTGTTATCTTTGCGGTTTCTTATAGTAATGATTTGAGAGAGAAAGTTGTCCCCATGAATTATCCGAAGGAACAGTGCTAGAGCATGACTCACTAAGCTGATGGCCTGTATTCCTTAGATTTTTTTGAACTGGGATTTTTTTATATCGAATTAAAAATAGATGTGAACCAGCCCTGCGGTATAACTGCTGCATTGTATATCGTGTGTCTAGTGTTGTCAATGTATTGATTGCCAAATGGTTGATTAATCTTCGCTGGTAAATGATCTTCCCCGTTTGTTGTTCTGTTCTTCAGCTGTTTTTCTGTACGAATAATTTTTTCCGTTGTAATCTAAGTATAAGCTTTTGATGCTTACCTTGGTTGTTGGATTGTCGTCTCGTTGGTCTTCTGTAGGCATTTCTAGCACGTATTTCTTCCACTTTCTAAGTTGCGCCCTAATATCTGTTATTGGCTTGTGATGGGATGCTCAAGTTGGTTTCGTGTTTTCTTTCGAGCTCTTTGACTCCGTCACATTTGTTGTTAACCCATGTTTCATTCGCTTTCTTTATTTCTCTTTTAATCGTGTGATGTATTTCCTGTATTTTTTCATTTTTCTATTTCGATAATTTTTCTTCTGCCTTGTTTTCTTTGGTATGCAGTTCTCGATGTATTTTTTAGAGCTGTTTTAATATTGCCCCATTTTTCATCCAACGTTTTCGTATTTCTTATTTGATTCGTCATTTCTGTTATTATTCAAGATATTGTTGGTTCTGTATTTAGTCCATTGAACTCTTTCCTTATGCTAGAAAGAGATTATGGTCAGTTAGTTCGTCTGCACCTGGATATGTTTTTGTTAATTTTTCGGAATTTTTAAATCTTCAGTTAATAATAATATAGCCGATCCCATTTTTGACTCGTCGACATTTCCCACCCTCTGCAGGGCCTCTCCATCTATAGCTTATTCTGTGTGGTTTGTAAAGTAGGTATTCATTATACAGTAATCTTTTTCTGAGAGGCCAAGGCCATGTTATCCCGTTCAATTTCTTGTTCCTCCCTGACTTACGTGAATTTTATTAATATTCTTGTATAATGTTAACAAATTCCTTTCCTTGGAGATTCGTTCCTCTATTTACATCGCCATAAGACTGTTAAATACTCTCTTCAGTGCCTTGACTTGTTGGTACATCCATTTGCATTATGTTGAGATTGACAGGATTGCAACTTAACTGCAAAAGAAATGTTCTGAGGCGCGGATGAAAGCTTTTACTTTTTATTGGTATAACTGAGGTGTTTTTGCGCTAAAGCGCAATATTTATTATACCAATAACTTTGTTTTTTTTTTTAAATTATACCAATAACTGTCAACCAATGTCATCCAACCTGTTTTAACAGCCGCTTCTCTTTTGTCTGTCGCATCACCAGAATAGTAGCCCGTATGTCTATTCCAGGTGTTTCTGGGCCATCTGACCTCGCTAAATTCCGATAAGTCCATTTTGGTATTTCCAGTTCCTTCATGAAATTTGCTACTTCCTTGTCCCCATAGAAGCTTCTTACGTCCCAAGTGACAATTCGTTTGTTAGTTTTCCACTTGGCAATCGATGAAAACAAGTGATTTGCCTGTTCTATTTGCACAAACACGCTTGAGCCGTCACATAGTTTGTTAGTAAGTTAGTGAAGACAGCCAGCTATACCTACGCTGTAAATAAGCACGTTTTCTGTAGGGATGAGCAAAGCAATACCAAGACCAAGACTTGCATGGTCTTGGACTTGTTCTTGCATACATAGTCTTGGTCTTGGTCTTGCAAATCAACGGCAGTCTTGGTCTTGGTCTTGCTATTATATAAGCCCTAAAATTAGACGGAATTAATTCAATAATAACAATAATAGTAAATAAATTAGACGCAAATAATAATCAACACGAAGCAATGAAAATAATCTCAGACTATTTGCTATTTTAATAATTTTAATTATTTTGTAATTCAAATATGTTGACCCCTACTTTTTCATTGTCACTTAAGACCTTCATCCAGAGAAATTGAAGAAATTTTAATGTAGTGTAATTTACATATTCTAATGAAAGTACAACAGCAATGAAATATCTGCAGTAAGCTGTAGATATTTAAATATTTTTATTGGGTTTACAGAATTTTACTGATAGAAAACAAACTCAATTATTAATAATGCACATAATTCGTCGCAAGGATTAAGTTATATTCCTGTTTATTCAGCAACTGTATGGAACATTGGAAAAATAATTATGAAGTGTATAAACTGTTCATCGAAATGTATTTACTACTTAAGGTTTTACTGTCTTATAGAATGTCCATGTTAAAGACTGTAATTAACTAATACAATTTGAAATTAAAATTTACCAAAACTGGATCAAAAATGAAAAGTAATTTTCTACATAGAACACATACAAATAATATGATACAGCTGATTGGAAGCTTTTCAAAATGTGGATGACCAAGAGCTTAAACAGAGTAACCAAAACGCTAACGGATAATCGGTGACGATGATTTCTAATAATTAAAGATTATTTTGAAAAAAGTCTTTCCCCTGGAATTGAAGTTGGAGGAACGACATTAATAACTAACCCAAACTAACCCAAACTATCCGTGAATATTGTAAGAAACCTATTTTCATATAATTTCCTGTATAGTGTAAGATATATTCACTTCAATTCAACAGTACCTATTTTGTCATAGATGGGTTTGAGAAAAACCAATTAAACGTTAGTAAATGATAAACAGATATTAAAGGAATAAATATTAGAAAATAGTAACATATATTCAGCTACAGTCAACAGTGCTACTCAATGAGACGAACGCAGCTTGTACTTGGACAAACAGAAGAGGCACGAGCGCTAATTAAGTCCATCAATAAGCAATTGTACATCAATCAATAAATCAATAAGCAATATCGACAACTAACTAACTTTGTTTTGCAAGCATTTTTACTACTCAAATATCGGATTACCTTATTGGCCGCATTTCGTTTAGTTTTATTGTCAAGAGTTGAGTTTGAGTCATACTCAAATCACAAGATTGGGTCGGTTGTGAATTGTGTCATACAACAATACATACAGAAAAAATAATAATAATATAAAAATATATTATTAGAACTCGTTATTGCTCTGAATCCGTATCCTCATCACACTTCAAAATGGTCTAAGTACTTCATCCTCATCTTTGTTATCGTCATATTCGGTGACATACGGATCATCTTCATCAATTCAAAGTTGAAGGCGAGCTTGATAGCTTTCGTACAACATTCTAAGTTCAAAACTAAAAATGCTTAACAGAAGAAAGTAAAAAAATTGTGCCCGTTAGTGATAACGTCGGTCTGACGCACCGATTTTCTAAAAACTATTCAAAGACTAAAATAACTTTGTAGGCGATTGTCAACTGCTGTCCCACCACATATCCCCACCAAGAAAAAGATAGACTAAATAATTTTCACACTAAAGAATTAAAACCATTCCAGTTAACCTTGTACTGCTGTGGGAATTTTTATACCGATCATCCAAAGATTTAGAGATCAATCTGAAAATGCTTATAGTCCTTCTCAACGCTCGAAAATATCTTTGGTCAGATTACAAATGACTGTCGGAGTTGAACTGTATTTAATCAATACTATTATTTCTCAAATAGAGCAATCTGTGTAACATATAAGTTGGAACTAGTTAAAGCTTCTGGTCTGCAAATAATAAATCAATTTTATAACATACATTGTCTTAGAAGAGGGGCGATTCAATCGTCGTGAGCGCCTACCCATTATCATTGGTCTTATTCTTACTTCCAATTATGTATAGTAGCCATATTTTAGTTACTTATGGAGTTATTGCTTTTGGAAATACAACTAATTCAAAAATTTATTACGCACTTGTGTTGCACATAATAGCAAATTTCATAGATAAACAGGAATCCACCACTCTTTTCCAACAAATATTTTTGTGCATTTATCAGTGTATATCCGTTTTTAATTGAAGAATACGAATACTTTCTATTCAAACAAACGCTCGCATTTTCATACTAAGCCAAATACTAATAAACGTATCAAACATTACAACGCCGCTTGTCTGAATTTTACGGATTTTATGTAATCGATTAGCTCAGGCATTTGATAGAGTACAATTGGTTGGCGTACTGAGACTTTTAAAAAAGTTTCGCATTGACCATCGAATTCAAGTCGGATAGACCATTGAGTTTCACAGTATTCCAATGAATTTAAATTTCGACAGGTAATTCAGCATTAACGCTAAAGAATCAATACTCTTAAATATGTAGAAGCTTCAGGTTGATCAATTTGATCATTCTATATGCAATCTACGGTACAGAAACAATCTTACTCGATGCAATAAAAATTCCACAATTTTCCAATATAATTGTTCTTGAAACTTTCCTATTCAATAATGTACTTGCCAAATGTTAAGTGGTTTGGGTAGCTTTATGCTAACAAACCACTGTGTAAAGAGTTGGCCAGTCTAGCTCCGGAAAAATGATTCGCCGCAGTTTTATATTTTTAAACAGACAGCTTGTTGAAAGGTAGTAACTGGAAAAGTACATGCCGGCGACAGCCTGCTAAATCGAAGCATTATACTTTAGTTACATGACAGAACATTAAGCAAATCAGCTTTGACTCAACTTGCAAAAACGCTGCCTTCACTTAAAAGGCAATTAAGGTGCATCAGCCGTTCCGCCATATTCGTCTACTCATAACTATATGACAAAAGATATAAAGATAAATGGTTCTCGGGAAGAAAGCTGAATTTTCTTAAACTGGTTCGATTCTTGATATAGTGTGGTGTTCTTTTTAGCTGAAATCATATACGACTCGACTTTTTGATTATTTTCCACATGGTACAAATGCAAATGAAGTTCTATGACATAAAATTTTAGCATAACTAGATTTAGCCCTATAGAAATCCGGATCCGGTGTTGAATCGAAAGTGATAAAAGGGCCCACAAACTGTAAAATATTGCAAAAAAAGGAACACAACAATTTGTGTGTCGAGGTAGAACACAACAATTTTAAACTTGTGCTGTTGCCCATCATTTAAATGGAAATTTTTCTAAACGATCATTATAAATTAATTGCATGACTATCTTATGTCCTTACTATTCTTACTACCTAAGTGAAATAAGTGGTAATTTTAATTTTCGTTTACGATTGGAAATAAAATTTTTTTTTGAGACAAAGAGAAAGTAATGGGAGTGTTCTTCCAACTTCACTTTTTAATATTTTTTGATTAGTTATAAAATTTATTATTTTTCGGCAAGCAATGCTCTGAGTATAAAGAGTTATAAAAATAAGTTTTTGAAACTATTTTTTTTGTCTAACAATAAGGTGAAGTCTGTCTAATCGAATCAGAAAAGGTCTGAATGGCAACTAATTAAACTGCTGTTTTTCTTAGAAAAGGCGGCCAACCTGTCTCACTTCCATAGGACGATAATTGGAATTTAATGGTGAGGTATAAAAACAATCACACCGCTTGGGGGGTGTTCATTTAGGTGTTTCGAAATGGGGTAATGGTGAAGCCATTAAAAGGAAATTACGCCCACATTGGGCTATAGCGTTTGGAATTGTGGAGAGCTGATCGATACTTTTTTAACTAGTCACAATCAAAATACAAACAGAATTTAAACCTCTGATGTTTTCCAAATATCTGTGTCAGCATAGCAAAATCATTCTAAAATCGTTTAACATTCGTCAGTTGTAACAATCGGACTCACATATTATTAATGCTATGTAAAAATGTACTTTTCTATAGATTTATAAGACACCAAAACATACATATAACACATTATCAACCTTCATTTATTGTTTTAAAATACTAAAATACTATAAAATCAAAATAAATTTAGTATACTCACTGTGTGAGAAAAAATGTTATCGAAAAGAGTTGCCACAATACTACCTCAAGCGCAAAAAAAACGTTCTACCATTCATTATATTGATCAAGAAAATTCATATTCGGTCTCTAAACGACCAAATATGGTTAATCTATTATCAGCCATTATATAAAAAGTGACTATATGTTAAGTTTAATTTCCAATAATGATCAATCCGTGTTAGACATTGTTTGCAGAGAGCAGATGGCAGTCCAGGAATAGCAATGGAAAACGCACATATAACCAAAGTGCCTATTGTATTGGTTATTTTGCTAACTTAGTATTACTATGATATTCGGACATTACTGAAAATTTGAGGCCGGATAGCCGTAGTAGCATGTTTGGACAAGATTATAAACCGAACACCGCGAAAATCGTTTCAAACCGCCCGACTTGTAACGTTATGTTAATTTTTAAGTATTTAATTTATAGCGTTAGGCATAAACCTTGCACCTTCTGTGCACCAACAATCAAATACAGAGTATCTTAAACAATCTGAGCCTGAGCATAGAGTCTGGTTTGGTTACGTATTACCATTGATGAACCAGTCAGAATTTTTATTCGC